GGGTGACTCGGTTGTCCACGGAGCACCTGGGGAGAGGCAGAGGTGACCCATCAGTGCCATGATTTGGATGCTCTGCCCTCCCTTCCCCAGACCCTCCTGCTGTTATATTTAGTTTTGCTGCATGCAGCAGTTTCAGACACCGAGTGCTTTCTGTCTCCAAAGAGGACAACGTCAGCACTTCACCTTTATCTAAACTGGTAGCTCCAAAAATCTGCCCAAGAGCTTCAACTGTGAATTAAGACACAGAGAGATCAGAGCCACCCAGCACCAGTCACCACAGGACCTTTTGTTCCTCCATTCCCATTTGCACCTTTGCAAAAACACCTATTGAGGGATGTTTTGGAGGTAGAAATCTACTCCCAGCCTCATTAACCACCCTGGGAGATGACACAGCACAAACCTAAGAGAGACTTTGCTCCTGAAGGAGATTATTTCCCTGTCCACATCAGCAGGGACCAGTCTTGCACCCCACGAATGTCCCCACCAGCTCCGTCCCCAAGCAAGATTTGAATCCTCCACGTCCACGATTAATAAGAAGCAATAATAAAAGCAGCCTGCAAGACATCAGTACCCATCTGGGGACAAGCGGTCTCATCTCATCCAGCCTCTTTTTTGAAGGTTTCTCTTTAGGAAAAGCCTAAACAACCCCCTCAGCCTCAACACACAACGTTTGGGGTGATGGATCCCCATGAGGTGATGTGCCCATGGTGAGATGAGGAGCCCAGGACTCCCCCGCCGCTTTGCCAGGCAAGCGCCCAAGCTCCTGCACCATCCTGTGAAAAACATCCGATAAATCCAACAATTTTACTGCTGTTCCATAATGATATTACGATAATAATAAATTAAATGCGAGCAGATTTTTATTATCTACATAAAAAAAGGCAATAGATTCAGCCTGGGCTGAACACCAAGAACTCGGCTCTTGCTCTCGAGCTGCATGAAAACTTGAGCAAAAACGGAGAGATTGGTCGCTCAAGTTGCCCAAAACTCCAGGTTTCTTCCCAGAGGATGGTTTTAACATATCATACTCTGGACCTCAACTATGCCAGTAGCTTAGAGCTACGTGGTTTGAATAAAACACAGTGGATATTTGGTTTATTTTGGATATTTGAAATAGGCTCCTGCGGTTGCAGCGAGCAGCGTTTTGGCACAAACACGGGCCAGAGCCGTATCATGGAGAAGGGCTGGGTGATGGGAAGTCAGACAGGGCTTGAATTTCTCATCCCAGTCCCTTCTGTGTTTAATACCCCTAAGAACCTGTAAGCAGGCTGAACTAAAAATATATATATTTCCTTTCTCCTCCTCCACACCAGTTTTTTGGGGTGAAATGCATCAGCCTGGCGACCCCTGGATAATAATGGAGCCAGACAGTGTGTAATCCAAGCATTCCCTCTATCATCTGGGCATTTAAGTGCTTTTGAAAAGCAACGGGGCTCAGGTAACGCATGAGGCACCAGTGAAATAAGTGCTTTCGCCCTTCACAGCACCCGGTCACAATCTCTGCTTATCACCCAGACA